AACCGACCGCTCCTGCACTGTGGGAGTGACCTCTGGGCTGCAGGAGTGACCACCCCTCTGGCCTGGGGGAGTAACCGACCGCTCCTGCACTGTGGAAGTGACCTCTGCGCCCCAGGAGTGACCGACCGCTCCGCCCCACTGCATGAGTGACCACCCCTCTGCGCACCGGGAGTGACCACCGGCTGGTGCTTCCTCGTTCTGCGGCCGTTCCTCCCCGACCGTCCGCGCTCGTCCGCTGTCCTGCGGCCCGTCCCTGTCGCCAGGGCCAGCCCCCCTGGTGGGCGGGAGAAGAGGTGCTCGGCTGTGAGCAAACTGTACGTGCTGCACCTCACGCGTGCGAACGGGTGACTGTTCTCCTGTTCGTGAGCGCGTGCCCTGGCAGCAGTTCAACACGTGGAGGAACTGGGGGATGTTTCAGCGCTTGCCCTGTAAGTGCAAGATACTGTCGCTGGGGTTCTCAAGAAGATCAGTGTTGTTTAAACCGAGCAAGAGTCACAGTTGAAAGCCAAGAAATGTTTAAAAGCAGGAAAGGCTGATGTGTTGTGGGTGTAAATGAATGGGTGATGTGGCAGTGGAGGGTGGAGGCTGGAGACTCTAGGTGCTGGTGCTTTTTAGGATTCCCCAGTAGTGCCAAAATTAAAATTGCTGTTGTTTGCCACCAGTTCCTTGTACCTTTGTGTTGGAAGGACGATACTCCACTGTGAAGATGCGTCAAGTCCGATCGCTGCCGATGCAGGGTCTGGGTTGGGTTTCAGAGGAGTCTCGCCTGCAGGGAGTCCTGAGCCGTTACTCCACCCTGGCAGCGCGCTGGGGAAACCAGGGAACTCTGACCCCAACCTGAACCCGAGTCTGAGCCGCCTCTGGCAGGTCATGGGCTGGGGGGGTCGCTGATTTCACTGAGGGGCCTGTGACGCTGAGAATTCTCTAGGCTGAGTAGCTCCGGTCCGTTAAGGATAAAAAAACACATCCCGACTTTAGATTTAGTTGCACAGTATTTTTATATGTACTATGTAAAATACTTGAAACATGGTCTCATTCAACACTGTGTACATGTCAAAGGTTTTCAAAAATTAAAACATTAAATTTTGCCTATTCGTAATAAACAGAAGGGTTGGTGAGTTTTTTTGGCCGAAGCCTTTCAAGGGGTCCAGGTGTGGGCCGGGGCGGAGTACAGCGCAGCAGGCTCACTGCAGCAGCTCCAGGATTGGCCACTCTTCCTTCTGGAAACACACCCCCTGGCCCTCTTGTCCGTTTTCTCCACAGTCCACAGCTGCCACCCTTCACACTCTTTCTGCAGCAGCAAGCTGCCCTCATCACCTGCAAACAGGTTTCCCACAGCGCGTGCATCCACATCCACAACCTCATAGCCATCGGCTTGGCCATACTCCCACTCTCACCCACCCCCACTGTCTTCTTCCGGTCCCCCAGAAGGCACCACACTTGTCCAGCCATCTCCCTCCTTACATGGGGGGTCAGGAGGACAGGTTTCAGGGAACAGGTCAGAGCAGAGGGGCTCCAAGAGGCTGCCGGTACCCCCCAGTTCTCCTGTCCCGACCACGCCCTCACTGTGACCTTTCACGGGCTTCATAATCATCGCCAGACTGGCTCCACACCCCGTCCTCCCCATTAGTAAAACAGACAGTTTTCAGGATTAAGATGTGTGTTGTGCTGTGAAATGGAGTAGTAGCAGCAATGGGTACACACAACCTGTAATTGGTGTTTTTAACACGGAACTGACAGCAGTTGCTCATTGTTCTCTTGAATGCAGTTCACTTTTTCTGCTGAGACTTGCGTGATTACGCTACTGTTTCACAGCCCAACCATAACAGAATACAGCCCCACCCAGCTCATGACAGAGCTGTCGAGCAGCAGCAGCAGATAGAGCAGTTCGTTCAGCGTGCAGCTGGCTGATGTTGCAGACAGGACAAGGAGAACTGTGGAAACTTAGGAAGGAAAGCTCAGCGGTCTGAGAGAGGAAGGTGTTTGCGTGACCTGCAGGGGTCTGTCTCCATGTATCATCTCCTGTGGCCTGTGAGGATAGCTCCTACTGAAACTCAGGGTCAAGGTGTTGGGAGTTATTTTTTATTTTTTTGTCCACAAGAAACTGCTCTGCACCTGTTCAAGGTAAAAACTGTTGGCAGGTCCATCCAGCTCTCTCTCACTCTCTCACCCCTGTGCGGGAAACAGAGCTGCTTGTGTTTGAGGACAACGGCTGAGCCCGTGTCTGTGCCATTGTCTCCTCACGATTCCTTCCCTTTTCACTGACCAGGGCTTGCAGAACTGTAACAGTTCACAATTACAGAGAGCTACAGTCCCAACAGCAAAAACACATTTATTATATTTACTTTGCAAAAATAAGTTAGACACAGCCATTCCGTCTATACAGCATCATGAGTTCCTGCTGTGCCACTGGGCTGGGAAACTGGGACGCAGCTCTGGGCAACACGCCTGCACTGCAGGGGCACCTCTGCCAAGACCTCCCGGAAAACAACCCGGGGCAGAGGATGGGCGACCCTCGGCACATCGAAATGAGCATAGAGGCGCTGGAGCCCTGTGGGAAACGGCTCGGGTCAGAGCTGCTCCGGCGGGATCAGTGGCGGCTCTGAGCGGCGTCAGTCTGGCAGCAGGCCGGCAATCTCGCGGATTCGCGCCGCGTGCTGCACCATCGCCGGCTGCCCCTCCTTCAGCTGCGCGGACAGCGCTCTCGTCTTCTGCTCCAGCTACAGCGAGAGAGCGACACAGGGAGGGAGAATGAGCTTGTGCTTCCAGCTGTCCAGATGTCTGAAGCGGCGGCAGACGGCTGCGCTGCGCTCACGGCCTCACCTCCGCCAGTTCCTGCCGCGCCTCCCCGGCGCAGTCCGGCGTCTCCCCGTCTCTCTCGCTGTCCTCCAGCCAGGCTCCGAGCGCTGCAGCCTGCCTGCGCCACGCCCTGCCCGCGCGAGAAAACTGGAGTCGTGGGAAGAGTAACGACTGAAAAACAAGCCCCCTTCCCCCCCGAAGAAGATCCGCTCCTAGCCAGCTTTCTCCCTGTTTTCGACTGTGTGCAAACGGTACCCTGGGGAAACTGATCAACATACCCTTTGCTATTCAAACTGGACGCCATTACCTTGCACACACATCAACTGTTCCACGAATGGTGGTTTTTTACGCTTCTTAAGACAGACGCACCAATCTGAGAACATGCACTCGAAATATTTGCCCTTAGTGCCGTCTGGTTCGGTTCACAGAAACAGATGCCGGTTGTTCCCACTGGAAAAAGTCTAGTGCTGCCAGACCTGGGCATTCTGTCACTGTGCTGGCTCAGGGCCTTTCCTATGGGACTTGGCGTCTTGTTCACCCTTTATTATCGAGGCTGAAGAGGCACAGCAGACTCCCCTTGCGCTAAGAGAGTTATTGGGCAGTCGGTGTCACAGTACAGAGTTTCACACCCTGGCCTGCGTGCTGGAGACAGGAGATCTCCTTCACTTACAGTCCGGGGGCAGGAAAGAGCCGAAGGGGAGGACAGAGGAGTCAGGGGTGAAGAAAACACCACAGCAGGCTCTTACTTGAGCTTTAGCTTGTTGTCGTGGAAACGCTGCATTTCCTGACGGATCTGCAAGAGTTCGGCCGTCAGTAAGGCACGGAGTGGCTCCTTCGGGGATCCCCGATCCTGTCTCCTCTGGTCTCCTCCCCACTCCTCTTCGTCATCGTCGTCAGAGGCTGCTGCTGAGAGAGACGGCACACTGTCTGGATACAGGCCCAACACAGACCCACTCTGACCCAGTGTGCAGACCTGACACAGACCCACTCTGACCCGACACAGACCCACTCTGAGCCAGTGCGCAGGCCCGACACAGACCCGACAGACCCGACACAGACCCACTCTGACCCGAC